ATGCTTGCAGTACAAGATGACACAATGTTCATGCCCCCTAAAGACACCCTTTGTCCAGATTAAGGCTGTGACGACAATCTTCTTAGGAAGAAACTAATTGATCCAGAACACAAGCAGCAACTAAACCCTTCTGGGAAGAAATGTACCTATGGACACAAACACAAATACCATCATGCAGAAAGAGGAAACCAGCCTCTGCAATCTCTAGCTAATGAACTTTGTGCTCTATGCAGAAGCACATTTGCCCAAAGTACAAGTCATTCAGATACCAGTATAAGGACTCAAGTCTATCAATAGACTTGGGAGAAAAACTTCCCATTAAAAAACTAAATAAATACAAAAAATAAGATAAAATAAATAAATAAATAAATAAATAAATAAATCGGAAATTGGATCTGATGCTTCAATAGGCAGAGAAGAAAATGAAAAAAACCCCCCAAAAACCTCACAGACCCTTGCTAAAACAAGCTTCAGAAAAAGGAGGATAGGGAAGCGCTTGTAACCACTACTCTGTAGATCAAGGGCAGACAATTATTTTGGGCAGAGGTCTGCTTACCAAGTTGTGGCAAGCTGTAGAGGGCTGCATGGGCAGCCCCGCCCCTTGATAGGTGCCCTGCCCCCTGGTCACTGTCTTGGGACCAAGGTCCCAGGGCCAGCACCAGTAGGGCCCAGAGAAGGGTGCAGGCTGGCAGGGGTCTGTGGAGCTGGGCTGGGGTGCATCAGCAGGAAGAGTGGGGAGCTGGCCTGGCTCCACAGAGACCCTGCTGGCTGGGACCCTGTACCCCTGCTGCCCTGGCTGTGGGCCCTGCTGGCACTGGTCCTGGGACATGGGTACAGGCCCTGCTTCCACCCCCGCTCACTCCCACTGCCCCTCAGCCCCACAGTACAGATGGGGGGCAGCACACAGTCCTGATCCCCTCCTCGCCAGCAGGGAAGGAGCTGCTGCCGAGCGTGGGGGAAAAGCGGCCCCTTGCCCACCCTGTGGCCCGTGCTCCCTGCTGCAGCTGCTTGTAGTCCGTGCGGGGCTGTCCTGAGTGGGCACAGGCAACCCCACAGGACTGTGAGCGGCTGCAGCATGGGCCGACGGCCACAGGGTGGGCGAGGGGCCGCTTTTCCCCCATGCTCAGCACCAGCTTGTAACCCCGTGGGGCTGCCTGTGCCTGCTCAGGACAGCCCCGTGCAGGCTGCGAGCAGCTGCAGCAGGGAGTGCTGGGCATGGGGCGGGGCCGCTTTTCCCTCTGCGCTTAGTGCCAGCTAGTCCCCTGCTCTCTCCCGCCTCGAGTTTCCCACCCTGGGGCAGCCACATGGGGGGGGTGAGGGGGCAAACGGGCCCTGCTGTTGCAGGAGCCTGCTGGGCTTCCCTTGGGTCCTACTGTCCTTGGTTCTTGTCATCTTTGACAGTAACTAAGGACGGATACATTTTTATTTTCTAAATTTTTTTAGGGGCCCCGCGGGCCATATAGAATGGCATCAGAGGCTGGATCTGGCTCATGGGCAATATTTTGCCCACCCCTGCTATAGATGCATCTCAACTGATTTTTGTACTTATTGTTAAGAGAAAAGATGCAGTGATAGAAGTTGTAATTTAAAGATGCTACCCAACTAAAGAAACTGAGGAAACTAGTAGTTAGAAGATGGTCCCACAGTTAGGGTGATTAGTGAGAGAAAGTCAGAAGTCTCCAGAGGTTGCCTAGTGCCCTGCAGTAAAGTATGTTTAATTCTTGTCATTCAGGTATGCCTGTGTTTATTGAACCTGGTGATCACTGCTGTGTATACCTGAGAAAATACACTGAGATAAAAAAATATATGTTTCTGATTAGAAAAGACTAGTGTTAATTACAAAGAATATTTTTATTGGGTAACAATTTTTTCCCCATTCTGATTTTATAATTCCACCTAACTCCCTTAAATCTGGGAAGTCTAGTGCTCAGTGAGTTTATTAACAAAGTGAAGAACGCAATAATTGATCATTCTACCTTCTGACATTACACACAGATTCTTGTAAGATGAATGTAAGTCTTTCTGAAATGTTTTATAAATGGTGAAGAACAAGTTCATACTGTTGCTTTTGTGGATTCCCCACCCCCCAGGAGACACAAAGGACCTCTCTTTCCAAGTTCTGTGGAATATGCAGCAAATAATCTCTTTTCCATGATACAGTAAGTGTTTCACCAGTGAACATTTAAGTGAACCTTGGATCTATGCACAAAAGTGAAAAAAAAATGTAGAATTTTAAAAGTCCCGCAAGCTCTAAAAGGGATATGAACCACTTTTCACATTCCAGGTTGCAAAGTGATTTTATTCCACGTTTAAAACAAAAGTAGACAGAAGGCAGAGAAATTTCCTAGGATGAGAAAATAAATTAAACTTTATAAGGAATGAGAGAAGGTTTTATGTAATACAGTCTTATTTTTGTAAGTTGTGCAGGAAAGCTCTTTCACTTAAAGATAGAAAAGCTCCAATACCTTTCCTTATCAAGTGTAATGGGCCACAAGACACAGATTTTTAAAGGAAAAATAGAGAGGGTGAAGCCTAACTTGAATTAAGCAAGAATTAGAGCATGCAGGACTAGGCTGGAGTTTTATTTGGGGGGGGGGGGGGG